CGTATATTGTAATTTAGATTGTTTAAATATTACGCTAAATATCGGCAATTGAGCCCTAAAAATAATAATTTTAAAGTCCCAAGACATCATTTCTAAATAACGCCCCAGTCTATAATTTAGATAGTTTAAATAGATGTAGTTTATAATTTAGATTGTCTAAAAAGCTAGCTGATTAGCGCCGTAGTTTATAATTTAGATTGTCTAAAAAGCTAGCTGATTAGCGACGTAGTTTATAATTTAGATTGTCTAAAAAGCTAGCTGATTAGCGACGTAGTTTATAATTTAGATTGTCTAAAAAGCTAGCTGATTAGCGACGTAGTTTATAATTTAGATTGTCTAAAAAGCTAGCTGATTAGCGCCGTAGTTTATAATTTAGATTGTCTAAAAAGCTAGCTGATTAGCGACGTAGTTTATAATTTAGATTGTCTAAAAAGCTAGCTGATTAGCGACGTAGTTTATAATTTAGATTGTCTAAAAAGCTAGCTGATTAGCGACGTAGTTTATAATTTAGATTGTCTAAAAAGCTAGCTGATTAGCGACGTAGTTTATAATTTAGATCATCGGAATTAACAATATCGGCGATTGAGCCCGAAAAATAATACCTTCAAACCCACAAGACGTCGTTTCAAAATAGCGTCTTAATTTATAATTTAGATCGGTTTCTGATCTAGAACATGTAAATTTAGAAATAGACTTAGTCATTTCTAATTTGGCTTTCAAAATTGGAATCTTTATAAATTGGCTATTACACGTACGACATCGCAATACATCACTCTACATGACGCGAACACATTACATCAACACGACTTGACGGTGAAACATTATTTAATATAATTATTTGCTCTATGATGATCTCCAGATCGGGTTCTTTGCGTTATTGTAACATTCATAAGAACATCACCGGAGATTTATGTTACGACTTTAATAGTAACTTGAACTGTTAGGAATCACAATGGGTGAAACTACGGTTTATGATGTTGAACATAGACGGCAATTGTTGGACTGCCTTCACAACACAACATTTTACGACTTGATTGTTATTGAATAA